TGGCACTCTTTCATCAGCGAGGGGGAGGAGCTTTCTTTGTCAGCTAATACTGTTCTCTTATACCATTCTTTGTAATCACTGAGCAAAAACTCACAGTATGGCTATGTTACAACTTTTCTTAAACTAACCTCCAGTTTTTTTAATGAGAAACTACTGCAACAAACGTCCTTCTCTACACAACCTTAGGCACTTGCCCAAATCTGTCCTTGGAATCAATTCCTAGAAGGAGAATTTCCAGATTAAAAAGTATTCATGTTTAAAATTTTAAGACAAACTGAAGGACAGAATAAAGAAAACTTGTGAAGAGAATCAGAATGACATTTCCTGTTACAGGAAACTGGAGAGGTACAAAATGGGAAGAGTATGGAGAACAGTGAGAGTTCTTGGCAATATCCTGCTCATTGTTTCTCAGTCAGAGTTCCCAATACGAAGCCGGGGCTGCGGGGTCTTTGCACCCGAGTTCTTACCTTATTCTCCAGAGGTCATCAAAGAGGCCTTGCTCCAGCTGAGGCAGCAGCAGGGCGATGGCTGTCTCGGCATACATGGAAATGACCCGCTGGCCCGCACGCAAGGCGGTATCACGCACAAACTCGTTCTCATCAGCAAGAGCCTGGGTACAGAGGTGGAGTCAGCTAGGGCTGCCTCCCCTTGGGCACCCAGACCCAAAAGGAATTAGAACTCCCTGAAGAGCAGGATGGGGCCTTTTGCCACCTATTCCCAATTGGCAGGGAACCCTGGCGCTCCAGGAGGACCCATGCATACTGGCTCCTTAGTACGCTCCCCTCCACATGGTCAATGGTGCCTACTTTGAGGATACAGGGGATGATGGGCCCCACGTAAGGAGTGAACTTGTCCCCGAAGGTGATGGGCAGGTAGTTAAACATCATGATATAGCCATCTCGGACATGGGGCGCAATATCCATTTTGCTGGCTGTGGCCACAATTTCTGGCATCAGCTTCTCCAACTTCTCTACCCCCAAGCCAGCCATGACCTCAGCCAACCCTGCAACAAAAGCACAGAATGAACCCACTGGATCTGAAGGCGACTGAAGGGTATTCCTAGGCTAGCCCCAGGGTCTGCCCTGGTCTCACCTTGTGCAGCGCCTGAGCGATCCACAGAGCTCTGCTCATAAGTCAGTGTCTCCATCAACCACGGCAGCAAATCCTCAAAGCATGACTCCCCCATGCCCTTCACCATGGCCCCAAGTGCCTTTGCAGACACTGTCCGCACCTGTCCGCAAGCAGGAATGGTGATGTAAAGCAGCTCAAAACTAGGTGACCATGCAGGAACAGGGAGGAGCCCCTAGGGTCTCCTTCCCATTACCAGATGCATGCAACAGCAGTTTATGGGGAATTCACAGGGAACAATTTTCTGAGGACTAGGCTAAAATACTGAGGAGCTCCTGCCTGCCTCTCCTCCCAGACTCAC